GTAAAGGCTTTTACCTCATGAAGGATACTGCTACGTGTTGCATCTTCTGCGAGGGTTGAATGGCACGTTGTGGATTCATAAGCGTCAGACTTTGAACTAAGGTGAGGATAAGGCCGGCAAGTCTTGCATCAGTTGATGTAACCTTGACGACGAGCTTGGAATTATTCCGCACTGTCTCTCTGGTGAGAGCCTCTTCTTCTTTGGTTGCTTGACGATGACGTATTCTGAATCTTAAGTTTTAGTTGATTATTGTAGTGGTGATACTACTTACGAAGACTAATCGTCTACTTGTCTTCGGACTTCGATTCTTTTGAACTTGTAATGACTGTTTCTTGAACTACGTTAATAGACATAAGGGGATATGTCTTCCTTCTTCTATGACGTGTAACGACTGTTGTCTTGAACTACGCTAATGGGCTTCCACTTGACACTTATTTGAATAAGTACTGTATCGAGTGTTTGAATATTGAAAAATACGCCCCTTAAATACATTTGCTGACCATGAACTTCACTTGAACCCCTACCCTTATTTTTCGTCCAATCAGAGACTCCTCCCTTTAAAGAGCGAGGGCAGCGCCTCTTGTGGCTTCATAGTTAATTAAGGGCGTAGTCGTCTCTTGGTCTTCACGGCAAGAAGAGCTCTCGTTGCCGTTGATGCATCTGGTGACAGCAAGACAGCTTGTTGACAGCGGGGGGGGGGGGTGCTAGTACATACTGCTTGAAGTAGTTACCGAGCGGAGCAAATTCGTACAGATTTCTAATGAGTGCGTTTTTCCCGTGTTTATTGTCTTGTTTTTCCAAATGTTTTATGACACTTGCTAGATGGTTGCGAGCAAGAAAGTTTTGAAATCTAAAGACAAATTTACAATGTTGTTTTGTAAGATGTTTTATTGAATTGAAAAAAGATTTCACAATCTCGAACATACACAAAGATTATATAACGAATTGATTTTGAACACAAAATCAATTAATCATCGTCTGCATATGAAAATGCTGTTTTAGCAAATGGAAATGACGATTGTCCCCAGATGGATCATTATGAGATTAGATTAAAATAAGGATACATTATAAAAGTTTTAATAAAAATATGACCGTAATTTTAACATAAAAGAGGAAGCATAACCAACGAAACGACTTTGGACTGATAAGTAGGACTCGATCTTTAAACGCATAAAATGATAAGAATACGCGTACTCATACTATTTGTTTTATGTAATAATATTTAACTGTGAATCATTTGAATTAATTTTTTAATTTTTATTTATAATTTCTTATTTATATTCAGCCTAATAAATGATAATAGCCCTACCTTGAATTTCTTTGTTAAATGATGTTATTTAATAATAATAGATTTGAAATATATATTGCTATTTAACATAATAAAATATACTTTTTTGTTAAACAAGGATTATTTATTCTACAATTTAATGGTATTCAATTCAAGTTATATTATATTTTTGAGGGATTGAAATTGAATTTTTAAAATTTTCTTATTATTATTCATTTAAATTTTGTAAATATTTATTATTATTAATAAATAATTTATATATTATCCACCTCCCCTGTATTTTCATTTCAATGAAATTCTTTTTCTTATTTTTTTAATCGTAAAATTACTGAGTTTATTCATATAAAGTAAGTTTATAAATTTTATCAATTTATTCAATGACATGAATTATTCTTTCTAATAATAAATACCGTTTATTAATATATTAATTGCCAAATTATAACGAATTTAAGTTTATATATTAATTTTAGTGTAATTTCAGCTAGTGTGTTGTATAGTATGGTCTGATTACAGTTGGAAATATGTTCATTAAATAAATAAAATAAATTCAATAAATAAAAAAATTTCCTTGATAATGATTACTTTCCTTCTTAGAAGAAATGCTTTTAAAAAGCTGTTTGAAAGAGCATAAGTTTAAAGTAATACTGTATAGATAAAATACTGATTCTCCAACATTTCTCAACTGGCTTATTATATAATTTCCAATGTATGCTTATTGTATGCAATACTTTTTAATATTTAATTACAATGTACAGATAAATTTAACTTAGTAATACAATAATATAAATAAAACAAAAGAATAACAATATAAATATCATGCTTAATTTTATGAATTATATTAAAACAATGATTTTAAAAGAATAATTTTTGTTGATACATTCAAGAATTAGATAAGCACTTCATATAATTTTAAAAATAAATGAATTAAATATATTGCATCCTTGATTTAGATAGTTGTTTATATATAAAATGTAAATTTCTAAAAAATATACGTATATTAATTTAATAAGTTGAATGATTAATTGAAAACAATAATTTATGTTTTTTATTTTTAACTATTTATACATAATCAATATTTGTAATTAAGCGAACACAATTTAAATAGTATATTTATCTTTTTGATTTAACAATGTTCAATATAGTGAAGGTACCTGAATCTGATATATCATCTGATCCATTGGGTATAATTTCAGGATTTTGCATTCCAGCATCTTGACAATTGATCTTTGGTTCCACATCAATCATATGACTTTGTATATCTGTCTCTTCTGTTACTTATTAATACATTAAATACACTTTATAGTAACAAATAATAATGATTACTTCTAATATTTCTTAATAATATCATGTATTATTAACATGGATATGGGTTTGAGTTAAATTAATTATCGAAAAATAAAACAAGTTAAATTATGAAACTACTTTTTTCTCATTTTTTCTATTAGTAAATAGTTATTTTGGATAATTTTTATTATCTGATATATATCATACTGATTCTGATAAAATATTGTGTTCTTGCTAATCTTTTATCTAAATTATTCTTTTTATACCAAAATATTATATTACTAAAAACCTAATCTTTACATTCGTTTTGAAATATTTGTATTATATGTAAGTAAGGGTTTCTACTAAATTATACATTAAACTTTATTATATTTATTATTGAAATTAAAAAAAGGTATATCTATGAATGATACATACATAAATCTATATGCCATTTATATTTATATCTATTTCTATTAATAAAAGTATGTCTCATTCTATGCATGTAAATATTATATGATTTTAATAATAGATTATTGTAGTATAAAATTATTAAGAAATTATTGTATATTATGTTTTAATTTTTCAATTACAATTAATATGCTATTCAAAATATTTGCAATACAATAATAAATTCATAATAGTCTAAATAATGGATAATAATTTATTGATAATTTCAATTAATTATTCAAGAAATATTTATTTTTATATTTTTATAAACAATTTTTTTATTATTTGACCAACATTTATTATCATGTTAATTTTTCCCAAGAACTTTATTTTTAATTTGTGTATTATAATTAATTTCTCATAACAATATTCAAAATTTTATTTCAGTAAAGTTTTAAGAATTAATAGTTTTTATTGATATTTCAAAACTTTTGTCTGGAATAAAAATATATTATTTAGGTTGTGGAATATTTATTGTATTAATGAAAAGTATTATACTTCTTTTTATTATTACAATTATAAATGAAATTTAAATTGAAAATATTTTATTCAAATAATTATTTCATTAAGTAATTAAAAAATAATTTTGTTTTAGATTTCATATCAAAACTTAGAAAAACATTTATATAAATATGAATTTATGTATTACCAAGTAATTTAGACTTTTTAATAACTTTTGGGCAAATTTGTGCACACTTCGACATTTACAAGCCTTTAATAAATTTATTTCATTAAAAAATATTTAATTTAAACATACACTAGTAAATTTTTTATCATAAAAATCAAATTAACTAAAATTTAACTCCTAACCTAATTGTTATAAAAAAAAAAAACAAAAAACAATTTTTTATTTTCTTAATTACGTCTTTGAAAATTAATATTATAAAATTTTAATTAGTAGAATTGAAAATATATTAAAACTATTCTTACAAAAAAATATTTTATTATAAAATGTTCATTAATCTTTTTAATATAGTTAAGATGACAAGTACCTAATAATTAAATCTCAGCAAACTATGTAAATTAAAATATGTATTACAGAAAAAATATGTCTGTGTTATTTAATGACTCAATAAAGTTTTAAAATTTTATAAATAGAAAAGTTTTTGTCAAATGATATATTTAGAAAAAAATTCATATATTTTTAATTATTTATAATTAATTCTACTAAATAAAATTTGTATTGTATATATTTGATAAATCAATCATTTTATTATATTGTTATACAATCTAGGTGTTATAGATAAATTGAGTCCCATAGATAGTTCTTCTTCCGTTGGAGAATTTGTCTCTGTTGCTGCTCGATATTTTTTTACTCCTGTTTCATTATAAATTACTTTCATCTTTGGTTGTTTAACAATAAGAGTTCCTTTAATTTTCATTTGTTGATTAATATATTCTTTAACAAGAGGTGGAAACTCCATTTCATTATTAAAAATTCTATTAATTGAAGTATTAACAGGTTTAATAAATTGTAATTCTTTATATTTATGAATAAGAAAATAATCAGTTTTATATGAGGCGGATTCCAGTTGTACAGGTTTTTTCAGATTTATACCACGAAAAGTTTTTTGAACTAAAGCAATTACTTTCCGTCTTATCTATTAGAAGTTATAATTGTTATAATACTTTGAATTAAAAATGAAGATAAAATAAATTCAATAATACTTACTTCAAATGAAAGTCCAACATCAGATAAAGCTTCCACTTTTAATATTTTCATGTAAGTCGATTCTGGATATCTTTTAAACATATTTCGACTGACAACTCTAGAAACACCAAATTTTTTTAAATTTCCCAAGATTTCCCATAATGATTTTCCTTTTAAATCTGTTGTACGTCCTATTAATTTGTATGGCATATCAATGATAAATGATTTATAAATTGATAATTTAAATAATTATTTTATATTTTAAGATTAATAGCAAAATTTAATAAATGAATGCAATACCAAAAATTAATTGTGCTTTAAATAAATAAAAAAAATATATACTAATGCTATGTGTATTAATGATGTTTAATGCAAAATCAAAATAAAGAACGTAATCTTTTATTTTATATGCAGTGGATGCTGAACTTTATTGGCTAACAAATAATTTTAATTTGATTAGTGACTATAGGGTGTTCCACAAATATCAGTGAGAATTGTACATGATTATATAAAAAAAATTTATTAATATATGAAATTTTATGGTTATATAAAATTAAAAATAAGGATTCCATTTTAATTACATAAAAATGTGTCAATAAAAAGTAATACGCATTAATTTAGAACATCTATATATACATTATATTGATATAATTTTTTTCTTTCTACGTTTGAATAACAATAAACTTAAAATAAATTATTTTTATATTTTTATTAAAACATTAAATTAAAATTATATTATTTCAATATATTTAATAATTTATGTTTCTATTTGTGTATTTTTTTTAATATTAATTATTAATATTTTTGTGGTTTATTAAATAGATTTTATTTTCTATGAAGTTAATAAAATTTGAAATTTTTTTTTTCAAGGAATAATATTTATGACATGAATATTTAACAAATCAAAAAATAAAGTCAAACTGGAAAAAAAACAGAAGCAAATATGTGATTAATTGTATTGGCTAACAAAAATTCATCCAACCACTTTTTTTGAAAAATTGAATCCAACAGTTAGGTGAAGAAGAAAAGGAAAAACTCTATTGAAAATCTATTGGCTAATGAAGTATACGGAACTTTGATTTTCAAAATCCCGTCGTTATCCCAGTCACTAATAATAATAAGAATGTGATTCAAAAAGAGAATTATCAGGCTACAAATAAATATTGAGATATACAAAACAGTTACGTAAATAATATAAAGTGTAATTTTTACAGAATTTTATTATAATGAGTATGTGAATTATAATAAATTATAATTTATATAATAAATATAAATATAAATTTTATATTTATATTATTATAATTTATAAATCCATGCTTCATAAATTATTTAAGAATATATAATGTTTGTAGTATGAGAAATGGAAATCAATGATTATAAAAAATGTTACAAATTATAAAATATGATTCTTGAATGATTTATTTATGAACTCTGGTAGATAATATATCAATAATTTGACATATACAGCAAACACTGAATTAAAATTAGTGACGAGTTTTATTAAGCCCAAATTTTCCTACATTTAATTTTTTTTTCAGTTTAAATTAAATGTCCTAGTATCATATGGATAATTTAATAATAGCTTAGAGTGTACCAGAATTTTTTTACAATAATATAATTTAAATGTCTATTATAAAATATAAATAGATATAAAACGATTTGAAAATAAATTAAAGAATATAATAAAAATCTACAAAATAATAAAAATAAAAAAATATACAATTATTTCTTATGCAGTCCAAATTTATTTATAATTTACAATGAATTTTTTAGTTTTATTATATTTCATAATATATGAAAAAAGAAAATTTATTATACATTTATTCAGTGCTTATCTTTAAATTTATTATACACATAATAGATATGTATAAAGTATATCTGAATTTTTTCTTAATTACATTTGCATCTTTACATTTTCATACAATTTTATTGATTAATAATTATGTCCTAAATATGTACTTGTATATCTACCTTCTAAAAAAATGGTTGAATTATTTTGATCCTTATCAGGTTTTTAAATAGGTAATATTTTTTATGATAAATATTCAAGATGAATTTTCATATTTGTAATAAAAAAAAGGGTGAAAATGGTTTTGTAAAAGTTTCAAATTTTTTACCATTATATTTTGTATTTTTTTTAAAGCATATGTAATTAAATTTATAATATCATTTATCTAAAATATAGTTTATTTTTTAATAATTTACAAAATCAAAAATTTTATATAATATTAAGACAGTTTTATTGAACTAATTTTAGTTCATATATGATTTGTACATATAACACAATTTTAATTTCACTCTATTCCCGTATATTATAAAGTGATAAAAAATAATGTAAAAAATAAATAAAATTTTATTTTATTGCATTTAAGACTTACTAATAGTTAATACCTGAAATACATATATGTATATTACTTTTTTTTAAGAAATACAATATATGGAGCTTAAATGTAGTACATATATATAAATATTTATTTAGAGTAAAATTTGATTTAATTTAACTTTGAGAATTTAGAAACTGTCCAAAAGATTATTAAAAGTGATATCAATTATAGTTTTTTATAATTAATTTCTTATGATTTGTTGAATCCAATCAAGATAATATGAGACTCGTGAATAAATTCCAGGGACACCATTTTGTCCACAACCAATTCCCCAAGACACAATTCCAGCAAGTTGCCATTTTCCATGGCGTTCACATACCATAGGTCCACCTCCATCGCCTTTACACGCATCTTTACCTTCCTCTCCCCCAGCACACATAAATCCTGGATGAAGATTAAAGCTCATTCCTAATCTGGTTTTTCTCATTTGACGTTCACAAATATTGTTGCTAATAATCGGTACATCTACTTCTTTTAAAATATTTTGATATGTACCTAAATTACCAAAAGCATTTTTTCCCCAACCAGTTGTCCAACATCTATTTATAAAAATTAATTTTTTATTATTATAATACAAATTATAAGCAAAAGTTAATATTTATATGTTTTTAATTGAAGTTTTGAAATTTTTAATTAAAAAATGTAATTGTTTCATTTAATTTTAATTTAATTTATTAAATATTTTTGTTTATCTTTTCTATTAAAAATATTTGTTTAGTATATTTCTGTGCTTGCATATAATGGAATAATATATAAATTAATGTTTTTAATAATTTGAAAATCATACCTTATATTGAAAAAATCATCATGTTTATGTGGTAAACAGACGGGACTTATATGCGGATTTTGAGAAAAATCAATATCATAATTAAGTTTAAGAATAGCTATATCATTGTAAAGTGTACCAGCATAGAATTCAGGGTGAATAACAACATTATCAATATCTCGTTCAATGTAG